GTTCACTGCCTATTGCTACCTCTCCATTGGAGCACCTGCTGTTGCAAGGTGGTCAGACCTGTCTGCTCTGATCAGAGCTGGCTTGGGACCAGAGGGTGGTGGCACAGTTGGAGGGAGGAAGGTACAAAGGTTCGACCATGGGCCCTCAGGGACTCTGGAGAGCATGTAGTAGGGACCACGCCCAGGGCTCTAGAAACCCAAAGTGGGTTCCTTTCAAGACCCGGGCTAACTGGTGCCTCCAGAAACTTCTAGGGAAGAGGCTAAAATTCTAAGCGCAAAAGACCATGCCAGGCACTATGAAGGAGGAGATGGAAAAGGGAGATCACATTTACTGAGCAGCTATGGGATCCCAAGCACTGGTTGGTGGTTCTTCTGTTCTCATTAATCTTCACAGGGAAGCAGTTATTAGCACCCCTGTTTTATGGATGGAGAATGAGGCTCAGAGAGAGTAAGAACTTTTCATCTGAGTTACTTAGAGTAACTCAGATCATGCAAGATAGAGTGCTGGTCCCCACGCAGGCCTCCTTACCAGCCTGGTGCATGGGTGACCTCAGTGCTGACTGATAGATCATCCACACATGAAGTAACCCCTTGACAGAGCATTGAACCATGAGGACAAACCCTTGCGACAGGGACTCTGGCTTGTTCCAGCAAGTCTTCTGTAGTTATTGAAGAGGATGACATCTGACTGTGTCATCAGTGGCACATTGGAAGCTGAGCTTCATGGCCTGCTGCCAGTATAAGCTAGGTAGACCAGTTACTTCTCTAGGTGTCTTCATTTGTGGGCTGAAGATGATAACAACACTCGCCTCCCTGATCGTAAGGATTCAGTGAGATAATCTGACTAAAGTGCTCAGCAAGGCCTAGAATGCTAGGCCTAGAATGCCTGTAGAGCAGTAAGTGCTCTATAAAGTGAGCGTGGCAATTAGCGTTCTTCCCAGTGAAACCAATCTAAGAAAAAGGGTCATAAAAACGGAATTATATAGACAGAGCTTGGACAGCTGAACCCTTTTTTTAAGGTCCGTGTAGGGTTTGTAAATCCTGGGAGCTCCTGCTTTAGACACTCATTTTCCCTGCAGGAAATATGAAATAAAGAAGAAAAAAAGCCTCTGACCCAGAGAGGCCTGCCACAGCTCGCCCGTCCTTTCAGCGGGTGCTCCTTAGGATGGCCATTGTTTTCCTGGCTCCAGGCAGCAGTTAATGTTGGCGCTTTCTGCTTTCCCAGGCCAGTGCTGGTTCCGCCACTGCTCTGTGTGTGTGTGTGTGTGTGTGTGTGTGTGTGTGTGTGTGTGCGCGCGCGCGCGCGCGCGCGCGCGCATTCGCCCTTGTCCATTTGCATCCCTGTTTCCCACTTCCTTTTCCAATTCCTGGTGTCCTGATCCATGTCTCATGGCAAAGGGAAAGAAGTTGGTTCGTGCTCTCTCTCTCTCTCTTCCTGGGTGTCTAAATAGCTAATGTTGGTTGGGTGATTGCCATGTGCCAGGCCCTGTGCTGAGCACCTCATGTCCATCGTCACATTTGATGAGAAGTTCCCATTATAAACCACACTTACCTGACTCAGAGAAGTTACGGCACTTGCCCAAGCCCACACAGCAGAGCAATGTTGGCGCTAACATTTAATTCCTTCAAATGCTTTCAAGGCTGTCTTCCTCCTCCGTGGTGCCAACCTTTGGTCCTTTCTGAGCCTCACTTTTTGGTACCCCATGACTCCATTGCGCACTGTTTCCCTACTTGATTTGTCTGGCTGAGCTGTAAGAGCCTGGAGGTCAGGGACTTTGCCTCATTTTTAGCTTGGCACAAAACCACGTACTAGGTAAGCACTCAGTCAACATTTGCTGATTGTTTTGTCCCTTGACTTACTTAAGGGACACTAAGTGAGCACCTCTTTGGCATAAAATACCATGCTGAGCATTAGTATACCATAATCAGCCTTTGGGAGCTTCCATTCTTATGGGGAGATACAGGATTAGCTCACTGAATCCTCACAACTGCCCAAAGGTGAGGTAACTACTGCTATCCCCTTCTTGCAGAGTAGTAAGTGGAGGCACAAGCAATATGGAGGCTTTTTCCAGACCTTCTTGCCTACCCACTGCCCTCCAAGCTAAATACAGTCAAGGCCCATGATCCGTGCTGACAATAGCAGGCACCCACACTGAGTATGATGGATACCCACAAAACACTCTTGAAGTTGTTTTATATGGTACAGGAGCCTGCTGACTGTCTTCTCTCCAAACCCCTTTGAAAAGCCCTTTATCCAAGATGAGGGCCATTTAGTGCACGCCTGCAGTGGCAGTGTCTGTGTTTTGGTGGCTGGTGGATGGGTAGTTCTGGGAGGAGCACATGCCCCTCCTAGCACATGCCCCACCCCTCCCAGAGCCTTCCTGGGTGGCTGCAGCTGCATTTACTGTGACCGGTCCATAAACATGAGGTCCAGAGGGAGCTTGGAGTAGGGTGGTCTGAGGACTGGAAAGGTTCTACCACCTGGTCATTAACCCAGTGGTCAATGTGTACATGTGCATGCTGGGGCAGGGGTCACCCTCCGAGTCCGGGCTTCCAGGTTGTGGTTGTTCCCCCAAATCTGCAGCATCACCATCCTCCCCACTCCAAGAACAAGCACCCACCCTAGAGGAGGGGTTGGAATTTTAATAGGGCCAGACCCTGAGAGTGCTCAGAAACTTTAGCCAAGTGGCCACAGGCTATTGAACTTGATTTTGCCGACTGGGTTTTAGGTTGGCAAAGATGCTTGCACGGAGCCAGATATGTTTGTGTTCTACCCTTGGCCACTGGGAATTTGCTTCTGGGGTTGGGGCAAAATTTGCTGCTAGTGACCTCTTTGGTGCTTCAAACCCCCTGGATTTTCACCCAGTAGATCTACCAGTCAATCTTTATTTCAGTGTGCCCTGAGGACTGAGAGAACTCCAGGGTTGCTGGGGAAGATGTTTGCTGCCCTTGCTGCTGGGAGGGACATACTGAGTGTGTTAAATAGACGGGGACACAGCATGTGTCCATTGCTGGGTTGTTCTGAGCCAACAATTACCAAACAAAGGGAGATATAAGAACTGGTTAATTGTGAAAAAAAGACTGTGGGCACCACAAGAGATGGACACAGACTTTCTAGGCCAGTGGATCCAGGTCAGATGGTGGATTCTGGGTGCCATCAAGGTGACACCTTTGACACCACGGCCTCCACTGTTTACTATGGGTTTCTATGGGCCCCAGCAGGGAGGAAAGGGGTCATCGTCCCAGTGTTTGGTGTAGCCATTTGTATTGGGGGCAAAGCCCTGGGGTCTTCTGCCTTGCCAGGTGGTCTGGACCTCAGAGGTCAGTCTGGCCTAATTTGGAACTTATGTTCCACTCCTCCCCTCCCTGGGGTAGAATGTCGTACATGGGGCCCTTTGAATAGAAGGTTAGAGCTGATTGGTACCTTAGACAGGCTGGCGCCACCTTCTCGGAGAATTTGGCATGATGAAACCGTTCCAGCCAGGAGCCAGAGCAACCATCATGTCCCCAGATGTAAACCCCCCTTTACTGGCTCTGTTCTTTCAGACTTTTGGGGCCAAATCGTTTAGCAGTCAGTTCCAAACGTTAAGCATCCCTCCATCTAGAAGATTTGGAGGGGGTTGAAGAACTGGGTCCTGAGGAGATATTGTGACCTCAGGGGCCCTAAAGAGCAGTGACAACCCACCCAGGGGAACAGGGTGCTGTGTCCTGACCGGAACCACTGTGTTGTTCATTAGAAAAAGCACCCCTTTCCCCGCAGCTTCCAGCTGACATACACAGTTTGAGGTGCAGGGTATGGGTTAGATTTCAGCCCCTACTTGTCCCCTTGGCTGGACATCTTTGGACGGTGAACACCGTGTATAGCAGTATTCACTGGCCCTAGTCTTAGCTAACTGATGGACTATAGTGTGAGCAGGTGAAGGAAGATTGTCACCAAGTTTCCATTTGGCCTTGGGGCAGGGGCAGCTGGCAAGGGTCCAGGGAAAATAAGGTCTTCCTTGGTAAACTGAGCCACAGTGCCACAAAGATATATGAGTTCTTCCATAGTTCCTAACTCCTTGCCTCTAACTGTACTTTTTGGGGGCACCTGGGTGGCTCAGTCGGTGAAGGGTCCAACTTCAGCTCAAGTCATGATCTCGTGGTTTGTGGGTTAGAGCCCCGCATCGGGCTCTGTGCTGACAGCTCAGAGCCTGGAGCCTGGAGCCTGCTTCAGATTTTGTCTCCTTCTCTCTCTGCCCCTTGCTCACTCGTGGTCTGTCTCTCTCTCTCTTTCTCTCTCAAAAATAAATAAATAGTAAGACAAATAAAAAAAAAACAACTGTACTTTTTGTCAGCACAGGGAACAATTGGTATTTACTGGCATTTAAAAATTTTTTGTTTAATGTTTGTTTATTTTTGAGAGAAAGAGGGAGAGAGAGAGAGAGAGAGAGAGAGAGAGAGAGAGAGAGATGGAGTGTGAGTGGGGAGGGGCAGAAGGAGAGGGAGACAGAATTTGAAGCAGGCTCCAGGCTCTGAGCTGTCAGCACAGAGCCTACCCGACATGGGGGTCAAACCCATGAACTGCGAGATTATGACCTGAGCAGAAGTCAGACGTTTAACCGATGGAGCCACCTAGGCACCCCTTACTGGCACTTTCTAATTAAACATGGGGCAGGTCCTAGGCCTTCTAAGAACAGTTGGGCCATATCTTTGGGTCATTCATTGGTCGCAGCCTATAGTCCTCCACAGGAACTGGGCTGGGTTTCATTCTCGGTGCTCTGGAGTTGAGCTGTGGGTCTAATTTGCATCATGACTGTTTTCTTGTTGAAACGAGCAAGACTTGGAAGCCGTGGCAGTCTCAGACATTTCTGGGCCTGATGAGCTGAGCAGACGGAAGGTGGTCCGGAGTGGGTGGGCACTCCGGTTGGACCAAGGCATCGTGCCAGGTGTCTGCTGTGAGTTTCCGTCATTGTGTCTGGGGTAGAGATCCTCCTTGTAGAGGGTAAGGGAGGCAGGTGAACATGAGACTCGGGAGCTTCCTCTCCGAGAAAAGCTGGATGCAGTTGCTGGTCGACAGCAAGGCTTCCAAGATGCCTACCATCTGCCTGAAACAGCCAGTAATGGGGGAAACAGAATCCATGTTTTTTTTTAAATCCAGAAGAAAGGGAAACTCCACCCGGGAAACACAACCCCAAGCAAAGTGTGTGGAAGCAGGATGTTTAATTGCAAACCTTTCTTGAGAACCAGCTGCTAGGTAATGTTATCTCGTCTGCTCCTGCAGCAGAGGAGAGTTTATCTGGGACCCTGACGCAGGCCCGGTAAACAGAGCTGGCTTTCCCTGATGACCTCTGCCCTGTCCCCCTTCCCCTCCACCTGCTCTTTCTCTGGGGTTTATCTCTAGGGTTTCTAGTGCCACTAGAGCCAGCTCAGGGAGGCTTAAGAAACTCTAATGTGGGCGTGGGGGTGGGGGTTGGGGTGGGAGGGTGTATGGGTTGGGCTGGAATTTTGCATATCCATTGCTCATCTGGAATGATAATCTAAGAGGTTCAAGGTTTGGAAGAAAGCAGACAAGCCTTTGAAATAGGCTGCCCAGATAAAAGAAAGTGGTCTGGAGACTGTCCTTGGATCTCTGGGTTTCTATTTCCAGGGAAATCTCTGACCATTTCTCTTACTCAGGATTTAGAGCATTTGTCCAGGAAGGAGGCCGGGGGCGCCTGGTAAATCCTAAAAGTTTGGGAGGACCTGGGATGGGGGCTCATTTCTGTACCCCTGCACCCAAGTCACCTCATGCTCGCTCCGAGCATGGGAAGTGGGAGGCAAGACGTTAGCAGGAGCAATCCTTTGCCCAACAAGGAAAGAAATGTGTTTTGAGGGGAAGCACGGCTGGGTTGCAGCCTGGTGGCTGTGGCTGGCATGGGTCACGTGGACAACCTCTTTCACCCTGCCCTCTTGCTTTTTCTCCAGGGGGCTTGTCTTTGGTGTGGATTCAGGTCAAGGGTTAGAGAGAGATGGCTCCCTGTGAAGGGAAAGGACTTTTCCACAGGGTGGAAGAGATTGGGGAGAGTGTGCTCCCATGTGCTGGTTAGCCCTGGCCTGGGAACTGGGAGGTCTGGGCTCTAGTCCCAGCTCTGGCACTAACAGGTTGAGCACACCTGCCACGGTAACCAGCCTAGTGGGTCAGGCCCAGAGCCCCAAAGCCTGTGCCCATTGAGTAGAAGAGGAACCTGAGGCCCTGAGAGGCTGGGCTGAGGTCTCACAGCCAGTAAGGAAGGTCCTGAGAGTGAAACCCATGTGTGGCTGACTCCAGAACGTGTGCCTCTTCCTTGGCAAATAACCATCCCGGGTCTGAGTTTCTTCCTCTGCAGAAGGAGAGACCTCCCAGCCACCAGAGGCTGTGAGCCTATAATTAATTCTTCCTGGGAGGTGAAGGGAAGCCCCTAATTACTGGGGAGGATGGAGCATGGGTCATGTTAAGCCCCAGATAAGCCCTTCCTCCAGGCCCCGCTTGACTGGCCGGGGAGAAAGGCTGCTGTCTAATGGTCTGTAGGCTCTCTCCTGAGAGGGCACTGCCCCTTGGGGCCTCCTTACAGTGCCTCTGCCCAGGCAGAGGTCAGGAAGGCAGCACCTGGCCACATACAGCATCTGCTCCCTGCCTGGGACCTGCGGGAGGGAAGATGTAGCTGGTAGGACTTGGGGGGCAAGGAGCTGGGAGTCAGCCGGGGGGATGGGGTGGGTTATAACCCCAGTGAAAACTTCAGAGCATCCGGCCACAGTCAATGAAGCCAGTTGTGTTATGAGGGTTTCCTCCGCACTCATCTGGTTTTGTAGCATTCCTAACCACTGACTTCTGTCTGGGCCCCAAGTTCTTCTTTCTCTCAGGCTCTCAGGACTGACATGACTCCCCCATGATCCTCTAGGCTCATCCACTGTGCAAGGGGTACACAGACTTTTCAGGCCACTCAGAAATTTATTAAGAAAGATACCATTCAGTCCTGATTAAGTAGTTTGATTTAAATATCCACACTCCTGGGGAGCCTCGGTGGCTCAGTTGATTGAGTGACTTCAGCTTAGGTCATGGTCTCACAGTTCATGGGTTTGAGCCCCATGTTGGGCTTTGTGCTGACAGCGCGGAGCCTGCTTCGGATTCTCTGTTTCCTTCTCTCTCTGCCCCTCTCTGCCCTTCTCTGCCCCTCTCTGCCCCTCTCCCCACTCCTTCTCTCTCAAAAATAAACATTAAAAAAAAACAACTCCTAAATTTACATATAGGAAGACAGTCCAGTGTGGTAAACAGCATGGTGATTGGACTCAACTGGACCTGAGTCAAGTCCTTTGCTCTGTATTGTACTAGCTGTGTGACCTTGGGCAAGTTCTGTAGCTTCTCTGAACCTCGGCTTCCTCCTGTACAAACTGGAGATAGCAATGGTAGCTACCTCATAGATTAAATGAGCTAATGCATATCAATGGTTTTGCTATGCTGGCATGAAGTAACCATTCCCTAAAAATGGTTTCTACCATTTATTATATGAGATATGTGTTTATATATGATATAAAGCAAAGCATAACCCTATCTATTATAATAATAGACGATAGTTTATTTTGGGTTTGTGAAGATAGGAATGGCCTTTCACTTTATGTTCGTTCTTATCAGGATCACACAAAACATGTCATAAATATTCCATGTCACGGGAGCAACACTCACTATTTGCTTTGCTTTATGGCCCTCTCCTTAGTTGCATTTTGGAACGAACCCTGCTCTGAACAAGGCTACCTCTGTAACAGAGCTCAGTGCGGGGGAGAAGGGACTGAGGATTCAGGGCTCATTTGCTTGGATGTTAACTGAGTACCAGACATAAAGCCCCATATCCCTGTGTGCAAAACCCTTGCTGTGGACCAAACATTTGTGTTTTCACAAATTTGTACATCGAAGCCCTAATCCCCAGTGTGATATTTGAGGTGGGGCCTTTGGGAGGTGATAAGGTTTAGATGAGGATCTGAAGATGGAGTCCCAGGGATGGGATTAGGGCCTTTGTAAGAAGAGAAAGAGACTAGAGCCCCTTCTCTCCACCATGTAAGCATACGGCAACAAATTGACCATGTGCAAGTCAGGAAGTGGGTCTCACCAGCAACCTTGATCTTGGACTTCCAGCCTCCAGAACTGTGAGAAATAAGTGTTTGTTGTGTAAGCCATTCAGTCCATGGTATTTTCTTATAGTAGCCCAAACAAACTAAGACAGCTCTGCTCCAGGCCTCTGGTGAATTCATCTACCCTGATGCCAAGGGATCTAAATTCTACTTCTCTTTGCTAACATTCTTTCCTTCTCATAGTGGCTGAGACCCCTGGCTTCTCTGCCCATTTTGTTGTCACTGATGGAGTCTCCTCAGACCTACTGAATCAGAATCACTAGGCAGGTGCCCAGAATCTGAGTTTTTATGAAGCTTGCCAGGAGATTCTGATGGGCGCTCTGGCAGGGGACCCACAGCTGTGGACACAGCTGCTCAGTCTCCTCTGAGGGAGGAAGCAAGGTAGATGTCTCACTGTGTCTCCGTGCTGGCCCTTAACCCAAGAGAGGTCATAGCAGGCACTAGAGGAGAAGTTCAGCAGACTAGTCCTGAGGGGGTGAAGGGACTCTGCCTCTCACTGAGGCCTCCCTCAGGAGGATGTGTCTTTGGTGTGAGTTCAGTAAAAGGGACAGAAATGGTAGGGACAGTAGGCCAGATTATGTGGCAGGGGACTTTCTCTTTCTCCAGCCAGGAGGCCTGCCCACCTCTTGGGCCAGTAGGCCTTCTAGAGTGGCCTAGGGCAGCAGCCTTGGAGAGCCTAACTGAGCATTGGGAAGTGGGGAAGACATTACGAATAGGGTCCTGAAACGCCTTCATTCCCGACAAGTTTAAAAATCTTACGTGCACTGACATCTCTCCTGCAAATCTGCCTCTCATCCAGAGGGCAGTTTGATTGTTCAGCGCAGCAAAATATTTTCTTCTTTTTTATTTAATGTTTATTTTTGAGAGAGACAGAGACAGAGTGTGAATGGGGGAGAGACAGAGAGAGAGGGAGACACAGAATCCGAAGCAGGTTCCAGGCTCTGAGCTGTCTGCACAAAGCCTGACGTGGGGCTCAAACTCACTAACTGTGAGAACATGACCTGAGCCGAAGTCGGATGCTCAACCGACTGAGCCATTCAGGTGCTCCAATGCAGCAAAACGTTTTCTGAGCACCCACTCTGGTCTGTGCCTGGCCCTGAGTTAAGGCGTAGGAATACTGGGATGAATTGCACATCTCTGAATTGCTTATGGTCACCTGAAGTGCTTTTCAGGGTGGGTTTTGAGAATCAACTACAGCAGAAGTGGTTTGTTAAAAGTACAGGTGCCAGGAGACAAAAGCAAAAATGAACTATTGGGAGGGACCTCATCAAGATAAAAAAACTTCTGCACAGCAAAGGAAACAGTCAACAAAACTAAAGGGCAACCTATAGAATGGGAGAAGGTATTTGCAAATGACATATTGGATTAGGGGCTAATGTCCAAAATCTATAAAGAACTTATCAAACTCAACACCCCAAAAGTAAATAATCCAGTTAAGAAATGGGCAGAAGTCATGAACAGACATTTCTCCAAAGAAGACATACAAATGGCCAGCAGACACATGAAAAAATGCTCAACCTCACTCATCATCAGGGAAATACAAATCAAAACCACAATGAGATATCACCTCACACATGTCAGAATGGCTAAAATTAACAACTCGGGACACAATAGATGTTGGCGAGGATGTGAAGAAAGGGGGACCCTTTTGCACTGCTGGTAGGAATGCAAACTGGTGCAGCCACTCTGGAAAATGGTGTGGAGCTTCCTCAAAAAGTTAAAAAGAGAACTACCTATGACCCGGCAATTGCACTACTAGGTATTTATCCGAAGGAGACAGGAATGCTGATTCAAAGGGGCACATGCACCCCAGTGTTTATAGCAACACTATCAATAATAGCCAAATTATGAAAAGAGCCAAAGTGTCCATTGACTGATGAACGGATAAAGAAGATTATACAATGGAATATTACTCAGTGATGAAAAAGAATGAAATCTTGCCATTTGCAGCATGGATGGAACTAGAGTGTATCATGCTAAGCCAAATAAGCCAGTCAGAGAAAATATCATATGATTGCATTCATATGTGGAATTTAAGAAACAGAAAAAATGTGTAGGGAAAGGGACAGAAAAACAAAATAAGATAAAAAAAAAAAAGAGAGAGAGGCAAACCATAAACACTCTTAATGATAGAGAACAAACTGAGGGTTGCTGGAGGGGAGTTGGTGGGGGGATGAGCTAAATGGGTGATGGGCATTAAGGATGGCATTTGTTGGGATGAGCACTGGGTGTTATATGTAAGTGATGAATCACTAAAGTCTACTCCTGAAATATTACCCTATATGTTAACTAACTTGAATTTAAATAAAATCTTGGGGAAAAAAAAGTATAGATGCCCAATTTTAACAAATGTACCACTCAAGTGGTGGGAGAGAGCAGGGAGTATATGGGAACTCTCTGTACTTTCTGCTCAATTTTGCTATGAACCTAAAACTGCTCTATAAAAATAAAGCCTTAAAAAAATTAAAATGTAGTTGCTTGAGTCCTGAAACCCCTGGTCTACTTATGCAGAATTTCAGAGAGTGGGGCCCCAGCATCTGCAATTTAGAAAGGCCTCTTACAGAATCTGATTCACTGTAAAGTTTGAGAACCAGTGGACATTTTTGACAACTCCAATTTTGTGTTTGTTTTATAAAATACATACAAATGAAATGAAGGAAATTAAAACCACTTGTAATCCTACTCTCCTAAGATAATCATCCTTAGCAGTTTATTGGATATCTTTCTAGGTGTGTGTGTGTGCGTGTGTGTGTGTGTGTGTATTTAAATAAACATGTGTAACATCTGTGTGGTACCTGACACTGTGCTAGGTCTTGGGGACAGAGATGAGAAGAATGGTCCTGGCCATGGTGCACCCACAGTCATGTTAAATGATGCCTGGTACAGCTTGAAGCTCAGCCTTAGTCACCCGCTCATTTGTGCTTACCTTTTCCCCACAGGTGTACATCATCAATGTGACCTGGTCCGACTCCACATCCCAGACCATCTACCGGAGGTACAGCAAGTTCTTTGACCTGCAGGTGAGTTGGTCTGAGTTTGGATGGTACCCAGTTCCAGCCACCGTGGCCTGAGTCTCTGCTGGGCTGGCCTCTGTCATGTCCTTACTCAGCCGGAGAACCCCTGTCAGAACTCTCAGGGTCAGCATCCAGGTCAGAACAGAGGGACAAATGAGGGAACCTCACCTGTCTAGCTGAGCTTGGCTCAGTCTTTAATGTCGCAGGCAGACACAGGTATTTGTTGGCTTCATCTGATGGTCTTAACAGTCAAGCTTTGTCACCCTCCTTTGCCTGGGGGTTAGGAAACCAGGGTGGAGAGGCAGGAGGATGGCCGTGGGTGCTGTGTGCATGAGCAGACATGTGTCTATAAACATCCAGGGTGAGACACAAGCCACCACATCTTTGCAGGCAAAGAAAAGCAAACACACGGGAGAGACAGAAACAGAAAATAAGCAGTTTCTTGAACTACAGACACAAACTGGGCATACCACTGTGTCTGGCTAGCCGAATAAGGCTCTTGCTGCCATGTTTGTACATGTGTATGATGTGTGTGACTCTCTAATATACACAGGGATGTCTGCACAGGGGGATGGTACTAGGGATCCCACAGCTCCACTGCAGACACCTCCCTTGATGCTACCTAATTTGGTTAGGCCTTTTTGAATTACAAGTGGTAGTTTTACACTCCTACTGGCTCACACTAAAAGGAGATTTGGTTGGAAGGGTATACCACAGAAGGTTGTGTAGTTGGCCAGGTGGTAAAGAGGGGAGTGAGGCAGTGGGCTCCAAGAACACCCAAAACTACAGCTGCTTTCTGTCTGTCTGCTCTCTGCTTCTCTCTGGGCACTGCCCTCAGATTTCTGAGGAACTTGGCTGTCAACAACTCCCGAATTTCATATCTTGTAGTTCCCAACACCTGAGAGACTGTCTCTGACTGACTGTTTCAAGTTGAAAAATCCCAGGGAAGACTCGGATTGGCCTGATTTTGGTCACGTGCCCTCTCTGGACCAATCAGAGTGGCCCAGACTAGAAGGTCATGTAGCACAGATGTGACCACTAGGGGGCCTATGCCTCTGTAACAGAGTCAGGCACCAGACAAGGCAGAATTAGTGTGAGTTGAACAGCAACCCTTCCAATACCAGGAAGGGAAAACTGAGAGTTTCTAGATTCTTCCTTAGGGCTATAAGCCTGGTGTAGGCCAATAAAAACACAAAGAAGAGACACCTACTTCTGGTCCTCACAACCAGGCTCTACTCGTTCATTTGCAGGCTTTGGTGGTGAGTCACCTTGGAGAGGCCAGGCCTGCATGTTTGCCCTTAAGTACCTGACTATCCCATTGTCCTTATCACTCTACCAATGAGATGAGTCAAAGGTGAGCCAGCTTCCTGTATTACAGTAAATCCTGTCTTAATCCGATAATATGGGATGGAAAGCCACTCCTTACTTTCCTGCCTCTTCTCCTCACCTCCCCTATTACTGTCCAGTCTCCTTGGGTCCTTCTGGTATAAACTGGTGGGATTTGCTGATACCCCATCAATGGATGTAGTGTGCGGGACAGGAAATGATAAGTTAGTTGGGGAGAGGGAACCCTGAAAGGACTCATTGATGAGCCAGAGGGAGTCTCAGAGCCAACGGAAACTCTCAAATCAGAGCTTTTCTTCCCCCACCCTTCTGTTCTGTGCCCCCATCCCCTCCCTAGTTACAGAACCTCACAAGAAAGGAATGCTACTCCCCCTACTTCTTCCTTGCCTGGAGGGCTTATTTCCTGTGTGTTGGGAGGGGACGCACAGCATGGGTCAGCTTGTGTGATGCACTGGCTCTAGACGTGAGCATGGCCAGGCCTGTCCACATGGGTCATCACTGCCTTGGAGATACAGTTTGGAAAGGGTCCTTCGGAATTTAACCTTTGAGCCAAGCATAACATCTTTGTGAACCCATTTTACGGAACTCATGACATGACTTTTAGTGGCATTCATTTTGGAAAGCCTTTCTTATTTATCGGGGTCACTGATTTTAATATGGCGACTCCTGTAGAGGAAGAAACATGGTAATGCTAACTCCATCTCTAGTCACTGGTGCCCTCGCAATTGGGCTTTCTAGTGAGAGAGTGGCTTCAAGCTTAGGCACTGGGGACGCATTGCCTAGGACTGGTTACTGGCTCCACCACCTTGTAGCTCTGGAAACATTCCTCAACTTTTCTAGGTTCTCTTTCCCATCTGTGGAATGTAGATTTGAATAGTACCCACCCAGTAGGGTTGTTGTGAGGCTTAAATGAGCAAATCTATCCTTGGGAATGGACTATCTCAGGCACACACCGGGACAAGCAGCCCTGAGCAGGAGGGGCGGGGGGACACAGGAGCCAAACGACTTGTGCTTGGAGAGAGACAGTGTCTCTTTCATGTGACCCGTGGCATTAATGAGGAGTCCTCTGGTGGAGCATGGGGGAGCTGGCTCATTCGTGGCATTGTGGACGAGAGTCCACAGATAACCTGGTAACTGCCCATTCTACACTTACCTGAAGCCTTAGGACTATACTGGGCTGGTCATTTATCTCCATCCACATTCACCTCTGTCCCCCACACCACCCATATGTCTTACTTACAGGCTATCTGCTACTCTTGAGGCCCTGGAATAGGGTCACCAGATAAAATATGAGATGTCCAGTTAATTTTTTTAATGTTTTTTTAATGTTTTAATGTTTATTTATTTTTAACAGAGAGAGAGAGAGAGACAGAGCATGAGTGGGGGAGGGGCAGAGAGAGAGGGAGACACAGAATCCAAAGCAGGCTCCAGGCTCTGAGCTGTCGGCACAGAGCCTGACATGGGTCTCGAACTCACAGACTACGAGATCATGACCTGAGCCGAAGTCAGACACTCAACCGACTGAGCCACCCAGGCGCCCCTTTAATGTTTATTTACTTTTGACAGAAAGAGAGAGACAGAGCATGAGTGGGGTAGGGGGCAGAGAGAGAGGGAGACACAGAATCCGAAGCAGGCTCCAGGCTCTGAGCTGTCAGCACAGAGCCTGATGCGACACGGGGCTCAAACTTACAGACCGCGAGATCATGACCTGAGCTGAAGTCGGACGCTCAACCAACTGAGCCACCCAGGCACTCCTCCAGTTAATTTTGAATTTCAGAGGAACAATATTTTTTTTCACTGTAAGTGTGTCCCAAATATTGCATGGGATATACTTACACTAAAAAAGCGATTCATTGTTTATCTGAAATTCACATGTTATTGTGTGTCCTGTGTTTTCACTTGCTTAATCTAGCAGCCTTACCCTGACTGTAAATGGTGAGGATGGAAGAATAAAGATGAATAAGCCAGCCTGGCTCAGGGTAAGAGTGGATGGGCCTGTGCTACGCCCTCCTACATATTTGCACTTCTTCAGGATGGAAGTGGCACAAGCTGAGGAATGCTAAGTTGAGAAGGACAAGGTCCCTTCCTTCCAGAAGTCTGGTGGGGAAAGTAGACTTTTAGGCAGTGAAGTCTACTGGAAATGAAATAAACACTTGATTGAGGGACAAGCAGCATTTACAGATGGAGAGAAAGGAAAGAGCACTCCTCTTGGGAGGAGGGAACAAAACATATGGTTTGATTGGGACGGCAGCCTCGAGTGATATAGCCCCATACCCCCACAACCGTTTGGGGGTATTTGGTTGTTTTTTGAAAATTATAGTTATTGGGGTAAAGTATGTCCCTAATTTCTTTGTAAATTTGTTTATTCATTAAACATGCCTGCCTCCTATCCATCTGTCCATCATCCATCCATCCATCATCCATCCATCTAATCTATCCAATCTAAGTGCCTATCTTCTATGTCCCAGGAAGTATGCTGGGCTCTGGGGATTTATTGATGAGCAAAAGCAAAATAAATAT